TTTAAAACTGTTTCATAAACATGGAATGGTAGCTACAGTCAGACCTATAGCTTAGACCTGGTCTTGGTATTTAATTGTTGTATAAACTGGAGCAAGTCATTTAATTTTGTTATTTCTTAAGTTAAACTTACAGTCTAATTTCAACAATAATTATCCATTTGAGCAATAATAACTGACTTTAAGCTGATCATGAAGAGAAAATTGAATTCAATAGGGGCAGCCAGAGTTCCTGATCTTTATAAATTCCCACACAGTCTTTTACTCTCCCTAATCCACATACTTTTCGGTGTGTGAGCAACTAAACTGCTTACAGAAGATTTACTGGTGACATAAACACGAGGAGGATTCCAACAAATTACATGTAATCATCTTTTTTGTGTGCTTTGGGGCAATGTGAACTCTTACCATTTCTACATGCTCCTGAACTGGCTGACAGTGTAAAAAAAATTAAATAGCTTAAAATGAAGGTATAAAAAGCCTAATGTCTTATGCAAGTAATTTCAGGCAACAGTATTTACATTTACAATGATGTGACATAAAAATGACAACTATATTAGCAAATACAGACATTGGAAAAATAGGGCAATAGAGGCAGAATTTCTGTGATACTTTGTACTTCTGTGACACTGAAACTTAAGGCAAATGGTGTGATACCCCTGATTTAAAGGGACTCTGACACTTTAATATTGGACTTTCAAGGAAGATAGGAAGGGCCACAGACAGAGAATGATGAGTTTCAGTGTTATAGCAGCTCCGGGTAAAGCTATAAAGAAGATATTTGACTTAGATTTTCAGATAACCTCCTTCCTGTCACCATCATCCCATGCCCCTCTTGTTCTCCATCAAATTTACAATTGTGCCAGTTCTTCAGTTCAAAGGGCATTACTTTTACTTTCCAATCTAATAAAAAAAAAATTCTATGTAGTTCTAAATTAGAATAAAGTGAAGTAAACACATTCTCTCTGTCCTCAATGAAATGCATTAAAAACCTAGACAGCATGCATGAAGCAACTATGTCAAGATTTGGAAAGGTAAACAGAAGCTGGGGATTAGGAGGAGAAAAGACAAGACTTGAAGTATCACTTGAAACAACAGTGTATTTAACCATTTTTTATCACTGTTATCCCCTGGCCTAAATTCCAAGCAGCCTCAAACTAAGAAGTAAGTGTCTGTGGAGACAATGCTACAGGGGCAGTCTCTAGTTTAGACTTAAGCAGTGGGTAAGTGGTCTCTTGGTTGTTTAGAGCCCGAGGGCCCATAGATACCTAAAACTAAAGAAGGGTAACTCCCTCCCCACGTGAAGGAGCTATGGTCCTGTGATCTAAGAGAGTGGGGTGACACTTCATTGCTTTCCTGTCTTTCAGAGACTAAGCGACTGACACTGATGGAGTCATGAGAAATGCCTGAAACAGCAACATAAAGAAAAGCCCAGCTCTCAGGCAGCAGGACACCAAAGGGCGACTGCAGGAAACTGGAAAGTAAAAGGAAAGTCACAGAGGACGGATCTCAGAAAAGCAACCACATAAAGCTGGCTTTGAACTCCCAAGTTTACCCCCCCAAACATGGATCTGACCCTTATCAGAGTAAGAAAGACTCTGAATGAAAATGAGAGTTAGATCATTGCCTAGTTTTCAGACTTCACCCTGAATGACAGACACACAGGTCAGATCAAACTATTTAAAGACAGGAATGAAAGGAGGAAGTCCTAAGAGACTGCAGAGATTAAAAGAAAAATCAGGGGATACCACAAATTTGTCAACATGCACGAAACAGACTAATTGCTCAAAAACAACGAACTAAATTTATCTAAGATGATAGAAAAAACTAGAAAACATCATAAATATTAGGCCAATTAAATTTAAAGTTATAAATAAATCTCTAGGTCCAGTTTGTTTCACTGGTAAATTTTTTTTTTTAAAGATTTATTTTTTTTGTACATACAGAACTGGGGTACAGGCCAGAGGCTCAGGGGTGGCGAGAAGCTTCACCAGAGACAGAGTGGGGAGCAGAACAGGCAGATCGACGAAGTACACTGCTGAGGGGAGCAGCGGGCGGGTCAGGGGAGGTCTGCCACGCCATGTGGTCACCTCCGGGGCAGGCGGGAATCGAACTCATGCGGAAGTGGCTTTAGCTTTTCAGTGCAGTGCTTTAACCCACTGCGCCACCAGGGAGGGCCTCACTGGTAAATTTTATAAAACTTTGAAAGAGGGCCCTCCCTGGTGGCACAACTGGTTAGGACGCAGTATTGCAGCCACTGCAGTGCAAGTTCGATCCCAGACCCAGAGCTGACCCACTTGGTGCGGCAGACCTCT